GTGCTCACACCAATTGAAAAGAGTCGGTAAATAATAATCAGCATAACCAGGTTCGCTATTCAAGTAGAACACCTGTGCCAGACCTCTAATCCTAAAGATTAAAGTAAAAGAATTAATTTTTTTTTTCAGTTTCTTATTCACTAGTCCTGGAGAATACAGGTTTCTAAAAAGTTCTAAGTTCCATATCTAAAGTGGGAAAAGCAGAGGTTGCCTTAGGAATATGATCCATGAAGCAGAGAGGCAAAGAGCTCCACGGCTCCTGCCCCGTCAGGTTACAAAGTCAGAAGGCAATCATTCAGGCCCACCAGCCTGAGGCATATGTTTCTGCCTCAACGTTCTGGGCCTTCTGTCAAATAAAATGCATTTGGAGGAGGAAAAGAGAGTGGCCCACCTTCTCACCCCAATCCTAGTTTAGCTCTTGGGCAGGCTAAATTTTCCACACCCCTTTGAGGTCATATTTCACCTTGGAGAAGAAAATGAAATTTCCAAGCTGGGAGAAAGTGTTCAGGAGGCAGCTGGGTTGTGTGTGTGTGTGTGTGTGTGTGTGTGTGTGTGTGTGTATTGGGGGGCAGTGTATGTGTGGTGTGTGTGGCTTTGTGTGTATGTGTGTAGTGTGTGGTGTGTGTATGTACTGTGTGGTGTGTGTGTGGTGTGTCTATGTGTGTGGTCTGTGTGTATGTGTGGTGTGTGTGGTGTGTATGTGTGATGTGTGTCTATGTGTGGTGTGATGCATGGTGTGTGTGGTATGTGTGGTGCGTGTGTGGTGTGTGTATGTGGTGTGTATGTGTGTGGTGTGGTGTGTATGTGTGGTGGTGTGGTGTATGTGGTATATGTCGTGTGTGTGTGTATATGTGGTGAGTATGGGGTGTGTGGTGAGTGTGGGGTGTGTGGTGTGTGTGGGATGTGTGGTGTATGTGTGGTGTGTGTGTGTGTGTGGATGTGTGTGTGTGGTGTGGTGAGTGTGGGGTGTGTGGTGTGTGTGGGATGTGTGGTGTATGTGTGGTGTGTGTGTGTGTGTGGATGTGTGTGTGTGGTGTAGTGCGTGTGTGGTGTGGAGTGTGTGGTATGTGGAGTGTGTGTTTGTGGTGTGGTGTGAGTATGTGGTGTGTGTGTGGTGGGGAGTGTGTGTGGTGTGTGGAGTGTGTGTGTGGTGTGTGTATGTGGTGTTTGGTGTGTGTGGTGTGTGTGTGTGGTGTGCAGAGTGTGCGCGTGGTGTATGTGGTGTGTTTGTGTGGGTGTGTCAGTGTGTGGTGTGTGGTGCGTGTATGTGGTATGTCGTGTGTTATGTGTGGTGTGTGGAGTGTGTGTGTGCATTTGAGGGCAGGAGGGCTTTGGCGCCTGCCCATCTCTTTCAATCTCTGAGTGCTGAGGTCATCCTGGTGCTCAGCTAATTGACGGCGCAGCAGTGCAGTCTCCCTCTGGACTGGTACCGCAACCTTAGCAGTCAGTTGCCTAGTGGATGGTGAAGAGTCACCAAAGGAACTTTTTTCCAGAAAGTTCCTTTGGTGATGAAAAGCTCCAGAAGTGCTTCAGAGACGGAAAAGTGTGGAGGTGCAGAGGATCTAAGGGAAGAAGAAATGGGAGCTGCCATAGAATGAGCAGAATTGATTCCAGGACATGGGATTGGGCAAAGGGAGAAGAAAAGAGAAAATTTAACACTTCCCTAAGGATGTTCGTCGCACTCCAAGCCTCCGCGGCGCTCCGCGTCCTGGCTGCATCTCTCTTCTGGTCCCAGCGCTTGAGCGGCGCACTGTCTCCTGCACCTGAGCAGGCTGCACCGCCCTAGAAGGGCGGAGGAAAGTCCGGGCGGACCGGCGGTGGAGAGAGAGATGGCAAGCGCCGGACCGCGCCAAGAGGCTGCCTCGGAGATCCTGCCCTTGGAATGGGAGCGGAGGAGGAGAACTGCATTTCCCAGCCCTTTTCTCAGTGTGACTGGCCCTGGGTGTTCAAGGTTTCCCCGATCAGGGTCATGTTCCCTGGGCAGGGCGCCTAAGAAAATAAACTTAAAGAACCGGCAGCGCGGGCCAGGGGCTGGGAGCTCGGCAGTGAGGACCGCAGGAGAGAGACTCCCTCTCCCACACTGCGCACCTGTGCTTACAACTAGCCCGCTCACGACTGAGGCTGTAACAAGCTGGACTTTGGGCGTCGCACGACCGCAGAGCTTATGAGTGGGTCGCTGGGACCTTGGGAACTTTCCCGAAGAGCGTCCGGTTTCCACCTTGGCTCACCAAGGCCTGGAAAGAAAGATGTGTGTGTCCCTTCCCAGGCCTTCCGGTTTCCACATGCCTGTGGGCGTCAGGGATACCCTGCAAGCACATCTTGGGAAGTACAGGTGGCCCCCACCCACAAAGGCCTCGGAGAAGTAGAGAGGCAAATGAGGCCAGGGACTCGGAATCTTCTGGGCAGACACGCCTGGAGTTCTCTGACCCCAAGTGCAGCTTCAGTCCTGGACATTCTTCCACTGATTGGGATGCAACAAATGCTGGTGCAGCAACCGCTTGGCTTTCAATGTCCCGTCTTTAGGACCTACGGTTCGGGCACTGGAAGTCTGGCCACCTGCCTGGACATCGTGGGACCAACTTGGCTTCATGTCTGCATGACACTGTGACCTCATTTTCTCCTCAGTTGTGAGTGACCTCAACTAGTTTAGCAGACGGGTGGAGTTATAAAATCCTAGAAACTCCCCTCTGAGAAGGTTCAGACGCAGGAGAGGGTTATGATATACCTCTGAAAGCTTGAAAATGCAGCATTAAAATAAAACATTTCTGAGTTTGCCTTGGCTGAAGGCAAAAGTAGCTTTGGGCACCCTTCCTCTACTACTTCCCGCCAAAATGGTCTTGTGGGCAGATTGAACAGCATAGCTACCCAGTCCGAAAGTGTCTGCCACTAACACACCTACCTGGATCGCCTGGACAGTAGCTCAGCCAAGGCTCGGCTTTCTTCCTGATCCTATGATTAAGTTAATGACGGTACAAAAGAAAACACAGGGGAGGCTCACCGAGTGCCTACTCGTGGCAAAGCGTCTACATGTACTCTTGAGAAAATATGATTCCAGCCTATAACTAAGTCAATTTCAAAAAGCAATATTTACCTTTTTCTAGACCTCATTTCATCCCTGTCTGAATCCTCAGTGGAAAGTAAAGCTGCTTTCCTGAAAAGGAGATTCCAGAAGGATCAGATAGAAAGGAAAAGGGCATTCAAGATTTTTTTTTTTTGAAAGGCCTAGGATAAGCTGTGTTTGTTTGCTTGTTTGTTTCTTTTTGAGAGATTTTTGCTCCAGAGATCTAGTGTCCCAGACATGGACAATGTAGTCTGCCTATCAGCCATTGCGATTTAAGGATCTGTTGATTCAATTTGCCTCCAAATTTGCCTTCAATTTGCTTCCTTACTTCTTGTCATCAAATATCCTTCACAATCTTGACCCTTCTCTAGAAAGACCTCTTTGTGTTCAATTGGAGCCTGATTAACTCATCAGGGAAAAAAAATATTTCCCAGTGCTAGAAGTACTTTCAAAAAATAGTAGAACCTGCTTTGATTATTTTACAGATGAGAAAACCAAGCTGCAAATAAATCAAATTATGTCAACAAAGATGCAGGGTCACACTAGTTGTGAATAGCAGAGGTAGAATTAGAATTTTGGACGGTTCTCACCACATCTTGCTGGGGATTAGTGTTTCTGATCATCCACATGTTACCTAGGAAAACTGAGAGCAGGCCTCAAAGAAACGTAGCAAAAAAAAAAAAAAAAAAAAAAGAAAAGAAAAAAGAAAAAAAAATTGCATGATCTTAAAGAACAACACCTGCTTTTTTAGCAATCTAGGTCACATTCCCAATAGGTACATCATTTTGCTCTATACTTACTCTTAACCTGCTCCCTGCCCTAATCATAACTTGCTTTGTAGAGGTCCTAAAATAATGAAGGCTTTAATATCCTGTTAGGGAAAACCATTGCAAAGCCTGTAATGAGACCTTGTATACAACTTCCCATGTCAGACCTTTTCACAAGTATCCATCTTCCTATATAGGGGAGAGTCTTCAGGATGTGAAGAAAGGGGGAAAAAAATGACACAACTCCTGTGATAGCTAAACCACTGTAGTGCCTGTTTCCAGAGTGACTATGAAGATGCCTATGGATTAAGTGCATGCTATCCTAAGGCCTAAAGGATCATTGTTCATTTGGTTTTATGTCTAATGGTTACTGGTCACATCACATACACCTAGACTTTGTACACTCAATATTTAACTAAGAATTATTATCAGTATGTAAAGAGTACAGAAGTACTTTTCACAGAGGGAAGAGTAGAAAGAGGAGGGAAATTGTCAGGTTTTTCTGTATTATAACGTTTCAGGACACTTTTTTTGCAGAGGCTGTGCAGTTGTCAATGCCTTTATAAGGAAAGCTGGGCCTTGCAATACATAGACCATGATCAAACTATGGTCATTTCACCTTGGTTTTTAGGGAAACTCCCCCACAGGATCTCTAAATAGATTATGACAGAATGCCATTGTAATGACATTAGAGTACAAGATACCCTTCTATGTAGCCATCACTAGTAGAACCTAAAGTGGGCTTTTCATCTGGTCTCACAGATCCCAGCCTGAACATTGTTTGTCTCAGGCCATTTGTGAAGATACTAATTATCCTGCTGCTGAAAAGAATGCTGGTGTCCCAGTGACAGGTTAGCTGCATGGCAGGCATCTTTGTCTAAATGATTTGTCTTTGATCAAGAGGTGCAACACTTTCCAGCTAAATATTTTCGAAGTGATAATAAAAACTTACCTTCTTTTAGGCTCAAAATTGGCTTAGAGTAAATAAATGCAAATGGTGCCAGGTTTATCATTCCTCTCTTATGCTGTTTCTTCCCTTCTTTTCAGGAATTCAGTGAAAATAAATGACATTTACTCAAAGTATAGTCCTTAGTTACAACAATAAAATTTAAAAACTTTCCAAATATTTGCTTTGAAGAAAATAGTCATTTATTGTCAAAGCATCCAACATACTCCGATAAACTATAAAGTTTAATAATATTTCCAGGGATAAAAGAAACACATAACTATTCAGACTCCATTTCACTGGCACAAAATTACACTTTGTATTAAAAGGAAATACATATTTACATAATCGATGACATTCTTCATTGAAGTCCATAACCATTTCATTATACATGCACTTCCCCCTGGAAACTCAAATTGAATGGCGACCCCTTTTTATTCATTTTGTTTATTTTTGTAAGAACACAAACTATCATCAAGAAATGCAGAAAGCATCTCGCCCTCCTCCTTTACTTTATATCTAAAATAAATTTTGCCCTTACATATAATTATTACATCTAAATCGTAAGTGCTTAATAATTTAAGTAGAAACGTATGACAAATGCATCAATATGTTGCAATATATGACATTTTTAAAAATGTACCTTTGTTTTGGGGAAAGTGAAAATGCGTGCATTCAAAAGAAAACCCCCTCAAACAACCCACCCAATCAAAAATCCACCATCCTGGCTCTTGTGTGTGTGTGTCTGTGTGTGTGTGGGTGGGTGTGTGTGTCCCGGGTAAACATTTGAATGAAGTTCCCGGAAGGGGAGGACGTGTGTGCGCGTTGGGGGGGAGTGGTGAATGTATGTGTCTTTGTGCAGTGTTTCGGGGTGCAAGGAAGCGGTGGATGTTCTCGCGTGTTTATTCCTGCAGGTGGCTTGACTGTGCGTGCGCGCGCGCGGAAAGCTGGGGTCCTTTCCGAGTCAATTATGCGAGGTCATGTGCCTGGAGAGGTGGTGGCGCTCCCTGAAGGACTCATTGCAGATGGGGCACTTGAGTTTCTCCTCTCGCCGACGCTTCACCAAGGGCTCCATCGCATACTCCTTTTTGTGGTGCGACCTCATGTGGTACACCAGGTCGGAGGTCATGCGGAAGGAGGCGTTGCACTTGGCACACCAGTTCTGCGCGGGCAGACACAGCGAGGTGAAGGAGGGCGGCAGCAGCGTGAGCGCCGAGGGCAGCTGCAGCTGCAAAGGCCCC